ATAAGAACTTATACTATTTTATTTAGTTATTTCATTTATGATCATCTATCCTGGTGGTATAGTGGTTACAAGTTGGGCTACTCACTGCAAGGTCAGCAGTTTGAAACCACCAGCCATCTCATGGTAAAAAGACAGGGCTTTCTACTCTTTTTAAGAGATCCAGTCTCAGAAACTCACAGGTGCAGTTCTAACCCATCCTCTAGGGTCACGATAAGTCTGCATGGACGTGATTGTAGTGAGTTGGGTTTTGGGTTATCCTAATACAAGGCTAGGTTCTCTAGAGAAGCAAACTAGGGAAATGATATGGATAGAATTAGGTAGATATGTAAAACCCATTGATTTAAACACAACTCATCGAGATTCTATAAGGCAAAATAAAATTGTTTCATAGGGTTTTGGAGTCTATAAATCTATATAGAAGCAGAAGAGTGGCTGGTGGGTTTGAACCACTGACTTTCCAATTTGTAGCGAAATGCTTATTCCACTGTACCACGAGGGCACACATGCATGTTATCTAACTATCTGTCTATCTATCTATCCATCTATCTATCACATACCCACACACATATATACATACAAACATGTACACATTAGGGGGCTTCAAAAATTTGTAGGAAAATTCCATTATCTTTCAATATAGTACTAAGAAAATGACTATTTTTCCATTTCTTTGCTTTACTGAGGAGGCCTGATGGTATAGTGGGGTACACATTGGGTTGCTAACCACAAAGTCAGCAGTTTAAAACTACCAGTCACTCCACAGGAGAAAGGTGAGGCTTTCTACGCCTATAAAGAGTTACAGACTTGGAAACTCACAGTGGGAGTTCTATTCTGTTCTAAGGGTTTCAATGAGTTGCCATCAATTTGATGGCAAAGATTTGGGGGGTTTTTTTGGTTTGTTTTACTGAACTAAAAATAAGACAATTTCCCTACTACATGTTTCTTTCTATGTTAAATTAGAAAAAAATTGTGGAGAAAAGTGGAATAATCACATAATCACACCAGGATTGTATGTGGGTTCCAATTTTTCCATATCCTCATATATTTATTATATTTCTTTCTTATTATAGCTATCCCCGTAGGTGTGAAGTACGATCTCATTGTGGTTTGCCCTGGTGATGCTATGAGTTAGGCACTGAGCTGCTAACAGCAAGCTGACTGTTGAAGCCCACTAGCTACTGTGTGTGATAAAGATGAGTCTGTTCGTTCTCATAAAGGTCTAGTCTCAGAAACCCTGTATAGGGTCTCACTGTAAGTTGGAATCACCTCAAGGCCAGTGGCTTTGGTTTTGGATTTTAAATGACTAATGATACCAAGGATCTTTCATTTGCTTATTGGTCATTGGTACATCTTCTGTGTAGAAGTATCTATTAAAACCCCTTAACTTTAAAATGAAGTTATTTGTATTTTAATATTAATTTATCAGAACTTTTTATATGCTTTGGCTATAAGTTTTGATTTGCAAAACTTTTCTATTATTTGGTGGCTTTTCTCTGTTAATATTTTAAACATACAAGTTAAAATCTATTTCATAATTTTCTTCCTCTTATTACTCATGTTTTTGGTGTTATATCTAAGAAATTAACGTTTAGTCCACAGTTATGAAGACTTACTCCTAGGTTTTCTTCTACAATTTTTAATATTAGATATTAAAATTTTGGATCATATTTAGATCAATAATTAATTGTGTTATTTTTACCATTTTGTGTGAGGTAGGGGGTCTATACTAGTCAGGTTTTGTGTTAATTTGTCTGGGTCAGCAATCTCCATGGTTTGGCAGCTAATACCTAGTAATCCTCCATGATTTGACCTAAGACAAAATAATTGGAGACACTTAGTTCTGTGTGTGTGTATATATATAAAGATATGTATTTATAGTATATATAAAGAGAGAGTCTATAGTGCATGTGTGTGTATAGAGGCTTATAATGACATATAGTATATATATATATATAATATAGATAGATAGATCGAGAGAGAGAGAGAGTGAGAGAGATAGATCTATCTATAGATATGTATGTCACTGGTTTTGCTCGTCACTAGAGAAGCCCAAGACCAAGACAGGATGCAATGTCACTCTTTGTATGTGGATACGCAGTTGTCCCAGCACTATGTTAAAAGACTGTTCTTTTCCTGCTGAATTAATTGTCTTGGAGCCTTAATAAAAAATTAGCTGACCACAAATATAAAATTTTATTTTGGGGTTCTCAGTTGTATATTTTGATCTATATCGTTATGCCAGTATCACAATGTCTTGGTTAAATCTGCTGAGTAGTACATTTTTATACAGGGAAATGTGAGCTCTCTATTAAGTTTTTGATTAATAAATCTAGAATGTATTTCAGTTTGTTGGATGTTTAATTTATTTCTACATGTTTTGTAATTATTAGTGTATAGTCTTGGGCTCTTTTAAAATTTATTTATAAAATTTTATTTCCTTATGGTTCTATGGTAATATAATTTTTTTAAGTTTTCATTTTCAGATGTTTATTGCTAGTATTTAGAAAAAGAATTGATTAATTTTATTATAATCTTGTATCCTTTACTATGTGTATTTATTAATCCTAATTCTATTTTAGTAATTTCCTCAGTATTTTCATTATTAAATATGATATTCTCTTTAAATGTATATAGCTTTGCTTGTTTTTCTTCAATTTGAATGTTTTGTAATTCCTTTTGTTGTCTAATTTCCCTTACTAAAGCCTCCATTACAAGTTTAAATATATGTGGTAAGGGTATACATCCTTGCTTTTATTAGGTTAAGAAAGTCTTTCTTTTTAAGT